TTAAAATATAAACTTTTGTGGTTACGGTTATAACATGTCAAGTTGTTGCGGTAACTCTCGCAGAACTAGGTTTGTTGGATCAATACTTTGTTGTTGTTTCACTCGACCATTTGGCTTTATGATAAAATGCATGTCCTGACTCAAATAGTTGTATTCGATTCTTTGGTCTCAATAAAAAACACGATTAGGTACAAATTTTCATTCTATTGGTGTGAGAGGTTCAAATTTATCACTAATATTTCTATTAATGTAATTTCCCATTCTAATTTTAAAATGCAATAAATTTCTTATCATATGTTTCGTAATGAATTTTGGTTCGTATCATTAAACTTAAGAAAATAAAATTGTCACCAATTTTTTTATTAATGTGTGATTGGTTACATAAAATTAATTATCTTTTCAATTAAACTTTAAAATTAATTAAGATTTATCAAAAGACATTTTTGATTTACAAAATCAAACATGTGAAAGGTATTAACATTCTTATACTGCTTGTCTAAAAAATAGTACTAATTAAACATGTATTATCATTTTTTTTTGATGATATGACTATTTTTAAATGTTTAAAATTAATTCTTTAAAAAATTTTGTTCATAAAAATATTATTTATTTATTTTATTTTTAAAAAATTTATTATTTAAACATTTTATAAATTCTTTAACACTTTAGTGAAATTTATAAAAAATATTTTCATTTAGAAAACTTTGAGAAGTTTAACTATTCACAAAATTCTTAAAATTTTCATCATGAGATATTTTTATTCACAAATTCAGCAAAATAACATAAATACATCAAATTAATCACACCTATATTATTTTTATAACTTATTATAGTTATTTAATTTTTGAAATAATTTGAAAAAATCTTTATTTGCAAAATTAATTTCAGGATGATAGCAAGTGAAATCCAAAAAATCATTCTTATTTGGCAATAGTAAAGAAAAAAAGGACTCTTCCTATTCTCCTTAGAAATTACATTTCAAAAGATTTAATCAAATAATCATTTAATATTATTTAAAATTTCCTTTTAATTATTTAAGAAAAATATTTATTTAGGAAAAATATTTCTATAGTATCCCAACTTTTGACAAAATCTAAAAATATTTTTATTTGGTAATAATTAAAAAAAAAGAAGACTCTTTTCACTTTCCTTAAAATTCATGCTCGAAAGATTTTAATTAATATTTGTTTGTTATTATTATTTTACTATTTATTTATTTATTTATTTTAATTATTTTAAAAAAATCTTTATTTAATAAAAATAATTTTAAATTATGTCAACTCTTTAGTAAAATCTAAAAATATTTTTACTTGCAATAATTAAAAAAAAATTAAAACATTTTCGATTTGCCTTAAAAAATTACATTTAAAAAGATTTATCAAACAATCATCTATTTATTACTTTTATTTATTTTTATATTTATTGATAATAGTTTAATTTTTATTTATTGAAAATATTTAATTTTCCGTAAAACAACATAAAATTTTTATAACTTAAACATATATAAACTAAATACAACTTTATTACAATTAACATTTTATTTTGATGATTTATTTAAATTGATTATTTTAAAAAATCTATATCCAGTAAAAGTAATTTTTAGATTATCCCAATTCTTTTTTATAATTCCCAAAAAAAAAAAATCCTTACTTGTAATAAATAAAGACAATTTGAACTCTGAATATTACATTTCAACGATATGTCAAACAATATCAATTATCCATTTACTATCACATGTGATTTTACACAAATTAATATTGGGCTTTTGAAAATTGAATTGCAAATGAATTGGGCTCAACAACGTATTGGCCAATGCGAAATAAGCCGAATTACCTAAAAATAATTAATAATTGAAGAATACTACTCAAATACTAATACAAGTTGACCAGATCAAAAATAAAATTTCAAAGTACCCGGGCAGATATTATGGTTGAATCTAGAGAGTAATTAAACAAAAATTGATAAAAAGTGAAATGCATGTGTCATTGTCGTGATATAAAGTAAGCACAAAGTATTTATTCCTAATTTGCCAGCCACACAAACTTTAGCAAGCACATAGAATTACAGATTCTTAAATATTGGACTGCCCACAGGAAACGACCTGCTTTCGCTCACATACCTATTCATTTATTTTGAAGACGAGGCATATTGGCATCTAATGATCGGGATGAACTCCTCAGTCCTGTGGATGCTTGGAAACTCCAGATCCTTCAAATTTTCTCCACTGATCTTTTCCAAACGTTCTACCATGGAAGGAGTTAGGTGATTGACCCAATCACCTACCTCACCTTTCCTACAATAGCATTTCTTGTCAAAATTTGGCATGAATTTGCCTGTTTTGTTCACCTCCAAATCTTTCAAGCTGCTCAAACTACATTGTTTATAAATTTCTTCAATCACCCCTTCTTTCTCTTCCTCCATTGAAAATGGAAACCCTATGAACTCTGCCAACCTTTTCAAGTGGGAATCAGTGTCTTCCTTCAAGTCCTCATACTTCCAAAACAAAACTTTGCTCGGATTCTCCAGGCTCTCTTTCCAGTACCCCAACACATGGTCCCAAAACGATCCGAACCCTTCAATACCTTTGCAGAAGCTATCAACAAAGTCCTCCATTGACCTTCCCAAGCTATTCCGACCTCGAGCTGCAAAGTGCCAAGAGGAAACCACAACAGCAAAAGGATTTCGGCAAATGTAAACAATTCGGGTGTTATTACACCCCTTAATCGATACAGGCAAAGATGCATATGGAATGTGAGTTGAAAAGAGCCTTGGAGATTCAATAGAAGAAAGGTCAGGAAGTTCTTTTTTGTCATAGAGAATGAACTCGATAAAGGGTACGAGTTCGAAAGGATTTGTAATAAGCAATGGACTGGTTGAATAATTTGTGTAACGAGAACGATTGACAATGGAGAATATCAGAGCCTTAAACCAAGTTGTACCTGATTTTGGCCTAGAGGCAAGGATAATATCATGATCTTCAGCTTGGAAATGTCGTTGAAAGGTGATAATGTTACGAAGAATCTTGGATGGATACCAACAGCCGTTGTAGAGAAATAGGCCACCAGCTAACCATCCTTGCTCTTTCGGCAGGGAAAGAAGTAATTCCTCAATTTCTTGGTCTGAAGGCGAAGGGCTAGTTTTGGAGTGTTCCATCAAAGTGATTTGTCAAACGTATCTGATAGCCACTGGCTTTGTATATTTCTATGTCAAACCTCATACCAAAGCTCACCAAATATAAAATGCTTACGGTAAAATAAAAAATAAAAAGAATGTGTACAACAAAAAAAGGAATATAATCAATTTAAAGTGCTTAATTGATGGAAATAAGTCATGTACCAAAAAGAAAAAGGAAGGAAAAAAATGTAACCAAATGTAAAGTGTTTATTAAAAAAAGTGTATGAAAAAGAACAGAAAAAGAATGCATGTAACAAATGTTAGAATTTTCTGCAAATGAACTGCTATTAATTTGTGATTTTAATAATTTAATGAAACTAGTTGATAAGTTTAGTTCTAATCGGAGACAAGCTTGGTAGCCCAAATAATTTAAAGTGATTGTTTATGTATGGGTTTTACATGTCATACTAAGTGTGATTTAGCAATTGTATAAATTTTTTACCCAGTAAGCTTTTAATGAGGAGACTTCTAGTGTTTTAATGATAATAAGCTAAGGTTTCCTTTTCCCTTCAATCATGCGGTTATTATCCATTGAGAGCCACAAGTAAGCAAAGAATGAATTGAAAGACCTAGCCACTCCAAAAACTATTTTGCTTCTAGATATATGACTACCTAAATAGGTATGTTTATTCTTTTTGTATATTTATGGTGTCCTGATTATCACGTCTTAGGTACATTCTTTCATGTGATATCAAAGCTTTGCTATATGATATTAGGACCCTAAAATCATGTTTCAAAATTTATTTTTGCTTGATTTGCTTGTGTGGGTGAAAATTTATGGTAGCCATAATCCTATTTTTTAATTTTTTTAAAAAATTGATTTGGGTTTTTTGTTCTTTCTTGTAAGAGGATTAAAACCATATATAAATCATTTCTTAATTTGACCTATAAATAAAGAAATCGAGGTTGAAAGATTTGGGTTCAAGTTTTAGTTCAACTTTAAGATTTGATTGAAACTTTGGCATTTGATATGCTTCATCAGAAATTGATTCTTGAATCATGTTTCTTATGTGTTGTGAAGTTAAACAAAAGCATTTAATTTCATAAAACATTGATTTAGATGGCTGAATATAAAGAAAACATAAACGGGTTGAATATGAGTTTTATTGATCTAAGAATTTTCCCAATTGATCTTGTTTTTATTGGTTTTTTATGCATTTCTCATATGGGTTTCATAGAAAAAAAATGTTAATTGAGTTTTAGGCACTTAAATTTTACAAAAATAGTAAGAAAAAACATTAAAATTGGATAAAATTTTCAATTTTTGTAGCTAAATAATATCCTTAGAGTGAGAAACAATTTTCATAAATCACTATAGTAGAAATTTTCTAATATGGATAGATTGCAAACAAAAAATTTATTGAGCATGCAAACAATATCCATAAATCATAAAATTTAAATCTAATTATCCTAAACCTCATGCTTTGATATTTTAATATAATCCAATCAAAACAATACAGGAAAAATGAATTTTCTAGCCACTACATCACAATAACAAAATACAATCAAAATAGTTTTAATATCATGAACAACCAAACAAAGTTCTAATTTGTATAACCTATATTGACAAGGCTCTAATACCACTTAAAGGAAATTATGCATCATTATATAGAGTTAAAGCAGTCAAAATTTCAAAATTTTAATTCTTTAAAGCCAAGATCAATCAATAAGATTATACAAACATATAACTTCACAAGTATGCATGGGTTTCGGCTTAGGTGCTTACCTTAGATGTTGAAATTCCTCTAGTTAAATTTTGTGACCTTTCAAATAGTTTCTCAAGCTAAGAAGTTGCCCAAGTGTTTAACGTCTAATGGTGATTGACACGAACTTTTACAAAAGAACCTTTTTTAAGATTTAGTAAAACTTAAAGCCACACTCTAGCTAGTAAGTGTTTACAAGACCTCTTGAATTTTTTTGAGTGAAAATTTTTCTCTTTTTTTTTTTCTTGTTTCTCTAGTTAATTCTACAAGAAGGGGGGGGGGTTTGATGTTCCTATAAGGGAAGCATTCAACCGCATTAGGTTTAATGCTTGAAATGTAAATTTTCACAATTAACCATATGCTAGTCGAATGTACGAAACAAAAGAAACACTTTTTCTTGTTTTTATTTCCTCTATTTGTGGTTATACAAAATCAAATTGAGTTCAACTTAATTTGTCCCAATTTTAATCTTTCACAACTGTCCTATTGTGTACAACCCATTAGGTTTTTTAACATATTAGCAATAAACATAAACATTGTAAGCCTTAATATTCAGCTATGGATAAAAAAATATTTTGTTTTCATCACTAATTCTCTAATTAGCCAATTTTATGTTTATAGATCATGATCAATGCTAACTTTATTGCCATGACCCCCAATTGTTAACAAAAAAGTTAATATGGCTTGACAACTTATCAGTGAATGGTCTTATTATATAATTAATATCCTTTTATCATATAGTATCTTGATTTGAACATTGAGTATAGTCTAGTGTCTATTCAATCTTGTTCAACCATATTAAGTCTTGTCATTGACATTAACTCACAAATAAGCTTTAGAATAATTTTAAAATCTTATTGTACTTTGATTAAAGATTTCTCAAGTTAATTCAATTAAGATTAGTTGAGATACTCTATTGATCACAAAAAGTGATGAACTTCATCTTGATTACTTTACACATCCTCATATGCCTCATGTTATACTCAACAATACTCGACAAAAGCATTCTTAGTTAAAACCATAAGTAAAGTCAAATTATAACATTTATCATATAAGATTATAAGTAATCTCAAGTCAAAAAATCACTTATACAACCATCACATGAGAATGTAGCTATAGACACTTGTGAACTGCCATATAGCATTCTTATATCGAGTCATGTTTAGTGAACTTGTTCTTGTAACAAGCACCCAATTGTTAGCTCAAGTTTATCTAAACTTTAACATATGAGATTGGTTGCTTGCTTCATAAGCAAAAGCATAAGCATGTGCTAGTCTTAATAGCTTTTGTCAATGTCTTTTTATTGATAAAGCATCAACTAGGAACAATTATAGAACATATAGCTTTTATGCAATGATGATCTCATAATTATAATCTTATTGTAATTCCCTTATAAAGCTTTTTTAATATTTTAAGAACTTTATCATATAAGCATCAATATTGAAATACATGTACTTAAGCTCAATGATAAATAAATAAGACCTTTATGAGATAAGAAACATCAAAGTATTATAAATATGACAATATCTTAGCCAAAATATGATTAAGCTTAAAGGTAAATGCCAACAATTTCCCACTTGCACTAAAGCCAATCATGCATGTATCCAATACCATATTTGACTACATACTTATCATGTTTTTACTAAGACATAACTTTAGTAAGAGAATCAGTAATGTTATCCTTTATAGGTATTCGCTCAATTTTAACATCACCTTTAGAAACAAAGTTTCTAATGAGATGATATCACCTCAATTCATGTTTCGATCTTTGATGATACCTTGGTTCCTTAGCTTAAGCAATAACTCTATTATTGTTACAATAAACTATTATTAGATCAACAATACTAGGAACAATGCTTAGTTCAATTACGAACCTTTTGATCCAAATAACATTTTTTATAACGTTAGATGCAATGATGTATTTAGCTTTGGTTGTAGAGTCTGCAGTTGTACTCTATTCAAAACTTTTTTAACTTACTGTTCCACCATTCAGAGTAAAAACATAGCCATTTAAAAACTTGCCATCATTATTGTTGGATTGAAAACTTGTATAATAATAGCTTTTAACAAGGAGTTTGGCTCCATCATAGAGAAGAAACATATCTTTAATTCTTTTCAAGTACTTAAGAATTATTTACATGGCCTTCTAGTGACATTCATTTGGATTTGCTTGATATCTACTTGTTATGCTTAAAGCATATAAGATATCTAGATATCAAGCCTTATGCATAATATTGCATACATAATGGTTCCAATTGTCGAAGTATATGAAACCTTATTTATGTTGTTTTTCTCAATTTGTGTCATAGTACACATGTCCTTAGAAAGATTTATGCCATGTTATTATGGCAAAAATCTTTTTTTGGATTATTCCATGCTAAACCTTTTTAACATTTTATCTATGTATCTAGATTATGGAGATCAAGCAACCTCTTTGATTTATCTTTATAGATCTTTATGCCTAGCACATATGTTGTGTATCCTAAATCTTTCATGTGAAACTTTTTTTATAATCAAATCTTGGTAAATTGTAGCATGGGTATATCATTTCCTATAAGCAATGTCATTCACATATAGCATTATAAAAACAATTGCATTCCTACTTGTCTTCTTGTAGACACAAGGTTCATCTACATTTTTTATAAATCCAAATTCTATAATTGCTTCATCAAAATGTATATTCCAACTCTTTGATGCTTGCTTAAATCCATAGATAGATCTTTAAAGCTTACACACATATAAGCATTTTTTGAGTTCTGTCATATACACATCCTTTGGTAAATTCTAGTTAAGGAATGCTGTTTTGATATCCATTTGCCATATCTCATAATCACGATATACTGCAATAGTAAGCAAAATCTTAATGAATTTCAAAATGGCTATTGGTGAAAAAGTTTCATTAAAATTGACTCTTTGTTTTTGATTATAACCTTTTGCAACTAGTTTGGCTTTCTATGTTTGGACATTACCATTGATATCAGTTTTCTTTTTGAAAACCCACATGCACCCTATGGGTTTTATCCATTTGGGTGATTTCGTCAAAGTCCATACTTGGTTTTCATTCATGGATTCCATTTTGGATTTTATGGCCTCATGCCATTTCTCAAAATCATATCCAATATTGCTTTTTAAGAGGTAGTTGGATCATTATCTATGATTAACTCATCTTTTTCTGTGAGAAATCTATATCTCTTAGAAGCTAGGAGAGTCTTACTTGACCTATGCAGTTTTTATGCAGTTTAAGCTTTCGATTACGCATTTGATGCCTTAGCCACTGGCTCAAATTTCATCTTTGTGTCAA